TAAAAACTGAAAAATCACCAGGCCCAGATGGCATACATCCGAGAGTTCTGAAAGAACTCAAATGTGAACTTGTAGATCTCCTGACAAAGATATGTAATCTTTCCTTAAAATCTGCCTCCATTCCTGAGGATTGGAAGGTAGCTAATGTCACTCCCATCTTTAAAAAGGGTTCCAGAGGAGATCCGGGAAATTACAGGCCAGTCAGTCTGACGTCGATACCGGGTAAATTGGTGGAAACCATTATTAAGGAAAGAATTAGTAGGCACATAGATGAACAAAACCTATTGAGGCAGACTCAGCACGGTTTCTGTAAGGGAAGATCTTGTCTCACTAACCTGTTAGTGTTCTTTGAGGGGGTGAACAAACATGTGGACAAGGGGGATCCAATAGATATTATTTACCTTGACTTCCAGAAAGCTTTTGATAAAGTTCCTCATCAAAGGCTCCTAAGTAAGCTCAAAAATCATGGGATAGAAGGACAAGTCCTTTTATGGATCAAAAACTGGCTAGTTCATAGAAAACAGAGAGTGAGTGTAGGTGGGCAATTTTCTCAGTGGAGGGTGGTAAGCAGTGGGGTACCGCAGGGATCAGTACTTGGTCCACTGCTTTTTAACTTGTTCATTAATGATTTGGAGATGGGAGTAAGCAGTGAAGTGGCTAAATTTGCGGATGATACAAAGTTGTTCAGGGTGGTGAAAACCAGTGAGGATTGTGAGGCACTCCAAGGGGATCTGTCAAGGATGGGCGAGTGGGCGTCAACATGGCAAATGGGGTTCAATGTGGCCAAGTGCAAGGTGATGCACATTGGAGCCAAAAATCCTAAATATAAATACACATTGATGGGGTCTGAACTGGCAGAGACTGAGCAAGAGAGAGATCTTGGAGTTGTAGTGGATAACTCACTGAAAATGTCGAGACAGTGTGTGACTGCAATAAAGAAGGCCAATGCTATGCTGGGGATTATTAGGAAGGGTATTGAAAACAGATCAGCCAATATAATAATGCCCCTATATAAATCAATGGTGAGACCTCATTTGGAATACTGTGTGCAGTTCTGGGCACCACACCTTAAAAAGGATATTATAGCTTTGGAAAAAGTGCAGAAAAGGGCAACTCGAATGATAAAAGGGTTGGAACACTTTCCCTATGAGGAAAGGTTAAAGCGCTTAGGGCTCTTTAGCTTGGAGAAAAGACGACTGAGGGGTGACATGATCGAGGTTTATAAGATTATGCATGGGAAAGAGCAGGTAAAGAAAGAGGTACTTTTCTCCCTTTCTCACAATACAAGAACTCGTGGGCACTCCATGAAACTGCAGAGCGGTCGGGTTAGAACGGATAAAAGGAAGTACTTCTTCACCCAAAGAGTGATTAACACATGGAATTCACTGCCACAGGAAGTCGTGGGTGCTACAAACATGGACGGCTTCAAAAGGGAATTAGATAAGCATATGGAGCAGAGGTCCATCAGTGGCTATTAGCCACAAGGTATAGCTAGGGGCTCTGGGGCAAGTGATGCTCTGTCTTCTTGGTGCTTGGGGGGGGGGTCAACAGTGGGAGGGCTTCTAATGTCCTGGCCCCACTGCTGGACCTCCTGATGACACTGGTATTTCTGGCCACTGTGTGACACAGAGTGTTGGACTGGATGGGCCTTTGGCCTGATCCAACATTGGCGTCTCTTATGTTCTTATGTTCTTATGTTCTTATGATATATACAATTGCCAGATATTTAAAGCATGGGATAAATTGTTCATTACCAGCCTAGACAAAATCAATATGGAACAGTAGCACTTAGGGTTATGCAAACTGTTCTGACCTCAGAAAGTTCTGTTTGCATGTAAACTAAGTATCATTTCATGCTGCTTTTAATTACTCTGCTTAGTTGGTGGAAGCAATTATGGACATTCACTGTGCTGCTGGTAGTATGATTAGTTTTCTTAGCTTGTGTATCTTATCCTTTCAGAGCTTGGTATCTAGTAATTTAACACCTTTCATTAAAGTTATTCATGGATGCCAATTAGATGCAATTCATTTCTTTAAAAAGTAAAAGTTGTATGGAGTCAATTACCTTGCTCAGTAGAATATCTGGGCACCCGAATAACATGCTGATAATATACACTCATGATATACATGAGTGATATCCAAAATACTGAAACTATTATACCACAGTGAATGGATATATGCATGATACTTTCAAGAGCAGTTATGCAACTGCACATAATGTTGAAATACTACATTCTGAATTATTGTAATTTTACTTAAATTCAGAAGTGTTGTGTATGAGATTTTAGCCATTTAATTAAAACAAATTAACATTTATCTCAGTGTGGATCCCTGTAATGTACTTCATTACTCAACAACTAATTAAACTGTGGAATTCACTGTCAGTGGAGATAGTGATAGCCACAAGCACAGATGGCTTTAAAAGGGTGCCAGACAGATTCAAGGAGGACAGGTCCATCAACAGCTACTAGTTATGGTGAGTATGTGGAACCTCCATATTCAGAGGCAGCAAAACTTCAGGAGAAGCCTCTGTACCTTCTTTATTTACTCTAGGGCAATTGGTTGGCTACTGTGTGAAACAGGATGCTGGACCAGATGGACCAATGGTCTGATCCAGCACTACTCTTATTGTGCTCCTCCTGCTGACCTCCTATTTTAATTATAGGGCTGCTTCCCAGCAACAATTTTAGTCACTGTAATGTTTGCACAAGGCACTCTTGTGTCTAAAGTCATAACATGGGAAGCTGTTGCACACAGAGCTGACTTGCAAGGAAGTGTATATTTAAATAATTTCAATATTAGATTTCAAAAGCAAATAAAAACACAAATGTAGAAACATGGACCCCGGGGTCATTTCGTGCAGGAGCGCACAGGAGTGGAGCTCCGGCAGTAAAGAGCCCATGGGGCGGGCACATGTAACAAGCCCCACCCCCTCCTCCCAGGAGCCCCAGGCCACAAGGAGCAAGAAGCAGCCAGGTAAGTTGCAGTGGGTGTTGCCTTCTGACACACTTCCGGTGATGTCAGGGTGTGTGGCATATGCAAATAAGTTATGCTAATGAGTTATGCTAATGCGCTCCTGCCCCTCTTTTTCTACAAAATGACCCCTGATGGACCCTACGTATATGTAACATTTCCTGAATTCTTAACCATGCTTAAGATGGCAAAATTATCTTCTATCACATTTTCATCATTAACCAGATTCAAATTTTGGTTCCAAATTTTGGTTTAGTGGTAGCTAAATGCAGATAAAACACTATACAACTGAAAAAGGGAAATGAAGAAGGAATTCAGGGGAATGGAATACAGGGGCATATAGTGGGTGGGAGTACATGAGCCCTTAGATACTCCTGATTTCTTAGAAATGGTTAAAAAAATGGAAACATTACCGATGCACTGGACAACAGCATTCTGTGTACTCTCTTAACAGTTACAGTAACAGCACAGAAAATCTTGACTTTAATTAAAGTACCTTTAATTATTTGAGCCTCGATTAACAACTGCATCAAACTGCTGCACCAATCAGTGAAAGAACTGCTCAATCAAAACTCACAACAGACATTACTAGGAGAATATTTTGCAAGTTTCCAAAATGGAATGAAACTGGGGTCTGTTATTTACCACGTTTATATAACAATGCCATTCAGAAATTGATCAACATGCTGGATACATTTACAGCTAGTTTTATGGAATAATATAATAAAATGTAAAAACACAAGTCCAGTGGCATCTTCAAAACTAACAATGTTTCTTGAACTAAGCTCTGATTCATGAGAACTTATGCTGAAACAAATCTTACTAGACTTTTAAGGTGCAACTGGACTTCTGTTTCATTTTATTTATTAAAACATTTATTACTCACCTTTCCTTACATTTCAACAGCTATTAGGGTTGCCAAATATGTTTTGGCCGGGAGCTTGGGGCTCCCGGCCGGCGTCTGGAACGTGCGTGCGCGCCGTGTGCGCATCACCCGGAAGTGACGTTGCACGCTGGGGGCGGGGCCATGCCATTTGAGGGGAAAACTCTTTGTTTTCCCCTCAAATGGCGTGGCCCCGCCCCCAGCGTGCGACATCACTTCCGGGTGACGTGTACGTGGGGTTTCCCCCGGGCCCCGATTCCGCGGGAGCGGAAAGCGAGGCTCGAAAGCGGGGGGAAATCCGCCCCCCCGGGGGCATTTGGCAGCCCTAGCAGCTATCCATCTAGAATTAAAATGTAAAATCTGTCTCTGGAAAAAAAAAAGTATTCAAATTCTATCTAAAGATCAATGGAGAGGAACTAAGTTGTATGACCCTGACACTATGCATATGAGGACCCTAAAATAGCCCAGTAGCATGTATCCAATGACAAAATTCTCATGATGGAATGGCATTTCCATTTACAAAAGTGGAATCCATTGATTCCACCTTCCACTGCAGACCCCCACTTTGCCCCTATACTTTTCCTGCTGACCCACAGGAACAAAATTTTAGGGGGCTGAGTGAGTCGCAACAGGAAGGAGATGCTGGAAAGTCCCCTTCTGAAGACCACAGATAGTTGGATACATGGCAGTGCTGGCCAATCTCCAGTCAGCACTTTAATTCAAAATATCTGTTACCCCATTCGCAAAACAGAAACATACAAGCCATTTCACAATTGCTTCCCAACTAATTAGAATTCTCTCCCCAATTTTACTAAGAAATATAAAGACTAATAAACTCTCCTGTCCTATTTTTGTGCCTAAGCCATCTAGTTATAGGCCATTTGCTATTCTGATAAATAGTGAACCTGTATTCATTTTCAAAGACAACAGCAGGATGCGCATTATTGCCAAGAAATAACTCTAAAAGGCATAGGAAAAAAGTTATCAGCTACTTTGATTTCTTATCAGATTTTATGAATTGTATTCTATCAAGCGTTATAACCACTTAGCAGTTTACAGAGTAAAAATCTAGAAAAAGACACTGCAATAGTTCTGGAAACCTTTGCATTCACTTTAATTTTTATTATTAATAGCATTTCCTTACCATAGTTCAAAGCCTCTGGAGCTGTCCATTTGATGGGAATCTGTTTTAAGCCTGAAGAGGAATAAACTCCATCATCTTCTTGACGAGACATTCCAAAGTCACTGATTTTCAGTATGTTATTTTCACCCACTAGGCAGTTCCTGGCAGCAAGGTCTCTATGACGGGGGGGGGGGGGACAAGGGCGGGGGGGGGGGGGAGGAACATCCATTACACAAAACCAGAGTCTACAACAGAATTGTTGTACAACATTTTTATATTCAAATCTTTCTTAAAGAGGTTGGATGTGAATACCATTCACCATTCTCTCTCTCTCTCTCTCTCTCTCTCTCTCTCACACACACACACACACACACACACGCACACACACACCTTTAGCAATGTGTGCACCTTTGACAATGTGTGCACCTTAGAAAACACTGCTATCTAGGTAATGTTACCAATTTGGTTCCCATTACACCTTTACCCAATCTATCAAATTAATCTTCAATATTTGTTAATACAAGGAGTATTACATGTCTCCTCCATTCTCAGCCTTTTAAAGGATTTGAATGTTCTGCTGATAAACCAGTGGATTTTATATTCACAGTGAAGGTTATCATTGTTCTCACTGTCTTCTCCCCCACAAGGTCAAGGCTACCATATCAATGCCCACCCTAAGCTCCAGGGACTTGTATGTTTGCATGACTCTCCGACACAGAGGTATACAGCTCAAACAGTTAGGTGAGCAATATGGGTTCTTGGCTGGAGCTATGTAGGCCACCTCATGATGATACCTGGCTCTGCCCTCTGATGGTACCTGGCTCCATTTTGGCTTACATAACTGTATGTGGGGAAGTTTATGCCTCTTAGCTATTCTCTGGGATGAAATATGGCCTTCTGACAGCCTCTGGGGAAAATTCCTCATTATATCACAGGGCTTGTGTTTGCATTTGGAATGCAATGAGAAAGAATTCTTGGGAGGCAAGAATGCTGACAAGCGGTGGCATGATGCTCCCCTTCCCCAGTTCTTGCTGTACCCCATGGAATGCAGCAAGAAACTAGGGTGGGGGTGGGTTCAGAGTGCCACTTTTCAGCATTTTGATCCCTACCCTGGAAAGTCCTTATCAGGTCCCTGAAGCAGCTGGGAATCAGTGTTCAGATCCCCACTCCTATCTGGGAAGCCTCTTGCTGAGTAGTGAGAGGCTTTCTGAGGTGGAATGAGGGAAAGGCCAGACCACACAACATGGGTCTGCCAGAATGCAACAGGAGCTTTACATTATGCCCTGAAATTACTTTTCTTCTCTCCCTGTCTCTGTCAAAAGTCCCTGTCCCAACCCCGGGTAAGGGCTTTTGGTTACAAGGGGGGTGCGGGAAAACAAAGTTACAAAATACGAGAAACTAAATCTCACCCTAGTCTTGCTAGGTACTACCAGTCCTTTCAGTCTATCCCAGAGGTCCCCAAACCTATTTGGCCTACTGCCCCCTTTTCAGAAAAAAATTACTCAGCGCCCCCCTGGAAATCTACCTTCAAAAAGTGGATAAAAAGATGCAGTGACAAAGTTGTTACTCCCTAGCACTTCAGCTGCAAACAATTAGGTTAGCAAGGTCACTGTGTTCTAATTGTCTCTGACTATCTTTGAGAAGATTCCTGTAGGCCTCTCTGCAGCCTGAACCAAGGATTTTATTTCTCATAGCAAAGGAACCATTTTCTTCACAGTCACTCTTTTTATAAAAATCAAGCCTGATGGAGAGTTCTGGGGACTCTGAGGACTTGCACACTTATCATTTTAGTTGGTTTTAGATGGAATTTTGATTTTGGACAATGTAAAGCAGTTCCTGGGAGGGGGCAGCATAGTATAGCCTAATCTCATGATATCTCAGAATCTAAACAGGGTCAGTACTTGGAAGGGAGACTGGCAAGGAAGCCTCTGCAGAGGAAGACAATGGCAAACCACCTCTGCTTCTCCCTTGCCTTGAAAGCCCCTTGCTTTATTTATTTATTTGCTAAAATAATACAAGCAGCATATGCTGTGTAACAGAGCATGGAAACCACAGAGTCCTTGAGGGTTATTTCCAGTACACTGCCCAACAAAACTAGATCTGATGGAGGAGGTAGGCACAGCTGGAAGACAAAGCTAGAATTGCTTGTTCTAATAACTCCTGGATGTAGAAGGGGAAGATAAACAATTAATGGTCATATTTTTTGCCACTGGTTGCCAGAAAGACACAAGCACTAAGCCATTTGTCCTTCAGTATTCCTGTTGTGACTTCTTATGTAAAGATTGTATCCTTAACCTCTATTTCAGACATGATAAAATGCACAAAATCCGCTACACCAGAAAAATCTGAAACCAAACATACAGTATAAATAACAATTCATTTATTCCACAAAAGAGTTTAAATAAACTCAGCTCGTCATTGATTCTCTCAAGACCATTTAATAAATATATAATCAATAATATATCAAATATATTCATGAATACAACTGTTGTTGGTAGGATACAAATACTGAGAAGAATATAGATACCCTCAAAAACAGACAAATCAGTAAAACGTCTCCTTGGCTCAGCTGAAAACTGTAAGGAGCACGTACATGCAAGAATGGGGAAACCAGTGATTCAGCAGAATGATCACAGTAATGACGCCAAATCCAGATTGCAATCTGTATTCTGTTATCCATATGTGAACTGCACCGAAATTCATACTGGTAATCAGGTACTGACTGGGAAGAAAAAATGTCCCTGGAAATGGACCTTGTCCCCTGTCAAAAGAGGGAGGAAGAAGATCTGGAAATCTACAAAAATACCTACAGTAGAAGAATGGTGGTTAAAGATGTTGGAACTTGTGGAAATGCCCAAACTTACTTCTTTGATTAAGGAAAAGACATTATTTACTTTTATTGCTATTTGGAAGCTTTATACATGCAAATGAAAAAAAATGATTTGATGATTTGTGGATTTGATGGGTAAGGAGAATTTTAAATAATAGATAAGAATACATGATTTAGTGTATTGCTTATGATATTAGAATATGTGGTTATGTTTAAATTTTAGATTTAGTATTTAGTGATTGTATTCGGCTTTGTCGTGGAGAAAATTTTGTAAGTTCTTTAAAGACATGTTCCCCTGGATCCTTTTTCTTTTGCTCCCCCCCCATTTTCCTGTATTTCCCCTCTTCAATTTTATTTTCACATATGAAAATCTTAATAAAAAGTTTATTTAAAAAAGAGGGAGGAAGGGAGGAAGAATGAGTATGCTCCACTAACAGCCCCACTCCCCACAGATTGGCTGAGCACCTCGGCACCAGGGTAAGTTTGGGCACATTTCTCACTGTGCTGGAGAAGTCTGGGCTGAGCCCATCCTTTGCCATGCCAGGCCTAGTCAGATGGGGCAACCAAGCCCGGGACAGATGCATCCATTGCCAGTTGGGGTAAGGCCATCCTCACAGGGGCCATCTTTCACCATGCCAGGGCACCTCCTGTCTTGCATGGCAAGGAGGCACCTGCTCATGGGGGTGGAGGCAACAGATTGAAGCTGTCCTGCACTTGGGGCTGGGGAGGTCCCAGCAAGGGCAGCCACTGGCCCACCAGGATTTTTGCTGGTGGTTTTAATGGCCAGTCAGCCCTTGCAAGCAATGTGGGGTTTATTACTACTGTTGTACAGCATTTGTCTTTTATCTTGCTCCAGCAATTCAGAGTACCATACATCTACCCTTCTCAACTATCTTGTTAGGTTATTCAGATATAGTCCAAAGGTTGAGTAGGGGCTTCACCCATAATGACTGCTTTTGTTTTACATACTACTTGAATTACAAGGGTTGGACACAATCCAACTGAATAAATGGATGAGAAGATTTATTTTTTTTAATTAGCAGCATTTTTCTTCACTTTAAAAAAAATCTATGACCTTTTCTTTGGACTAGACCCAGGTATCTATAAACAAATTACTATACCCTGTCAATTCTAGGTGATCCTGGGCCCTGGCATTTAAAAAGAGCTGTTTTATCTTAACTTTTGCTCTGGACTGTTATACCAGAATTAAAAACCTAGAACGTTGAAATATTTTAAAGCACCTTCATGTTCTAATTTTACCCTCTCTCTCTTATTTGGGAAAAGCAATAAGGCTACCAACATTCTGAAATCCAGAATGACATTTCATGACTATGGTCAAAAGGAAGGACTATGAATAGCTGTCTGTACTGCTACAATTCACGCAGCCTTGAAATCTCCCCTGAATTTTGAAATCAGCTTGGGAGGAGGGAAAGCTTATAATTCCAGATCCCACTGGACATAATGAGTCAGTCACATGATCCTCTGAATTGTGGCCTATACGTCCAGTAATAAAAACATGCCAACATCAGAATTTTGCAGGCTTAAGTTCTTATCACTTTATAGCAGGTCTTGTGGATTTAAACACTTAAACGACTACACTACTGACAAATAGAACTCAAACACTTGGTAAAAACCAAAAGGCAAAAGGCTCAGCAAAAGCAATCCTGCAGCAAAGAGAAATTCAACCCCAACATTCTTTAAAACATTTGTTTATGAGCACAGCTGTCCATAAGGAAAAAGTAACATTAAACTATTTGAACACAAGCATTTAATGTAGGGAATTACAGTTACAGCATTAGCAGTCATTCCTGAGAAAAGGATTTATGAACAGTTTGTCATTTGCTTTCAGCACAGATAATTTGCCAACTGACAGGCTGCTGTGCATAAGTAATGAATTGTTTCTTTGAGGATTATTAAGATTTCTTTAAGAATTATTAAGATTAAAAATTATACAAGCTTCCAAATAGAATGTTATTTATATGCAAGCTGCGGGTGTAGTCCACAGAACCATTTCCGCTATTCTTTCTTGAATATAAAATTCAACTCCTGTTAAAAGGTGACAGAATCATACTTGTTTAATACAGGTCAGATCAATAAGCACCTTTTAAATTAATGAATAGATAAAAATGTCATGGTGACTCTGCCTCCCGAATTTGCAACACCCCCGAATCTGGCTGAGGGAGAGGTGGAGGTGGCAGGCTGAGCATGCAGGGCTGGGGCGTGGATGAGGCCCGCCATCTCTGGGATGTGCATCTGGACTAGAACCTTCTTGCCCCAGTTGCTGGCCTTGCCCTTGAAAGTGCTTGTTTGGGCCTCAAGTTTGCAGCACCTGGCCACTCCAGACAG